ATATTCTGTCCGTTAGCATACAGTTTGAAGGAGAAATGATCGGCGGTTCAATAAGTTTAAGTATATTTGGATTGATTGGGAAGTAGATAATCAGTCGGAAGACAACCTTACAAATTAGTCCGTTTTACCGCTTACGACTCATGTAGTCGGTGGACAAGAAGTCCAACCAAGACGCAGCATCTTGTTATGCGTGCAATATCATGAAAACGTGCTACGTGAAAATCATTATTACAATCTACGTTAAGTAAACCTTCTCCACATTGAAACAACATTTCGGAATTTCTGTCAACCTCGTGCGGAATAGCCACGGCCTTCAACTGGCCTCCAAAAGGCAGTCCTCACCCTGGAAACACTTATCTGAGTTGCGGAGTACTCGAGCGTCTTCTACATCCGTGCGAAGAAGTTCGACCACGCGTGTCCGGGCTTTTAGCCCTTTCCTTTGCTGCTACTCTGGCATCATCTGACGCTAAGCATATACTACTAACTGCCTGTTGGCAGTTAAGGAATAATACACAATTATGCCGCTGAGTCTGATGTAGATTGACTCCAATATCCATAAAATACACTTCGCTCTGCGCTCAAACTGATCTACTCCAAGTAAGCAATTCATTTCTGAGGAAATTAAAATGAAACCATTCATAAACTGAAACAACTCCAAGGAAGCGGATAGGGTATACTGGGGGACCCACTGACGAGCGGAACTCCTAAGAGCTGTGACATGCAGCGGCAGAATATGGTCGAAACAAGCGTGTCTGTGCTTTTGGCGAATATTTGGACAGCTAATATGGTACCTGCTGCTACTAACAGACCTAGAGATTTGCAAGAGTTTGGCGATTCGAAACGTTGACGTAGATCATGACTAGATCGTCACCGCGGGTGCCGTCAGTCACTTATGTTGGTCTTCCAAATTGACAAATGGTATAGCCAAAGCCGTTTACCGACTGCCACTACATTCCCGGAGTCATAAGTATCACATCGAATTCCCGGCCTCCGGAAATCTGTCGATGTCCTTGTCAGCATTCCTTAATCCAAAAACAGGCAGCCCATCATCAGTTTGAATGACCGACGCCAGTTCTCACTTCATAAGGAATAAAGAGTAGAGGACGTACTTCGGTTGCTATATTTTGATCTTCGAGCACATTGAGTTCTGCCGTGTGATGTCTATAATAATGTCGTCTGACATTTTAAAAAAATCCCGAACACTGCCTCGCATAAAATTATCTACCAGTGTGCCACTCAAAGTAGGCGCCCTTGTATGAAAAAATTCTGTCATGCACATTTTATGTCGACAATCCACCCACTCATCTCGAGAATAAAATTTTCCTACAGGGACTAGAGCAATTGGTGTGGGCAGGGCACATCCACTCACTCTTCCTCTTGTGGCGATTTGTTCTTTTGCAAATGGTTTACGTGACTCAATATTGTGCAACTTGTGCAGTCTTCAAAGATATGCTCCCCTATCGGCACTTCGTTTTAACCGCCGCCGCATTCTACTCCAAGTAAAAAAGTGAGAATACACAGGACTGTTGTATAAAATCTCTACTGAAAAGGCACATTCCAAGTTACCAGTTAATTTCTGAGAAAATTTAAAAATTAACAATTTCCATCTCGGCTGCATTTGCGGCATTCTGTAACTGCAATTGCAAGACGGCATCGTTGACTCGGAAATCGTCGAGCGGTCCGTCATGTAGACACATCTGCAACCACGAAGGAGCGGCTATCTCGTGAAAATGGAAGACACAGGTCTTCTCTTGTAGTGTCGCCAGGGGTACTCGCAGAAAATGAGGTCGAAAATAGCACGAGTAGGACACTTTGCAGAACTCTCTGACACGACTGCAGATCAACTCGGAGACCTGGGACGACCGTGACCAAAACAGACCGGCATGATGATATGAAGTGAAGAGTGACGCAGCCATCTACGAAGCAAAGTAGATCGCTGTCAATAAATCCAAGAGGGGGCGTGTTGTTCATAAATACCTCGACTCCCTAATTTCAGCAAACAGCAGATTCCAAGAGGCCCCCGCTACTAACGCGCAATCCGTGCGCGTGTCGGCCTTGTAGGACACATTTAGAAGCAATGGACAAATAACCCGATAGCGTTAGCTTGTTCTTCCACAAACGACGAGGACCGCCCCTATCACCGGCGATTAGAATGCCGATGATAAGCTGCTATCGGTCTCCAGAATCACTCGTCCTTCACCCCACCCCCTGCGTCCATTTCAGCGACCATCTCCGCCAACACCACGACCTCTCGCATAAATACCCCCCCCCCCAACGAGGGGATCATGTCCGACTCCCCGCCACCACCCTCACCTGTAGCAATGTGGACGCGGTCCAATCTGTCCTCACCGCTACCGCACATTCTCCCCACCCATCGGTCCGGTCGGTCACTTGCGAACCCATCGCACAGATGCTGGCGAACCAGTGTCCGAAGAGCCCAAATACACGGGCCGCATCCGCATTTATTGTCCACGCTACCCCCTCCCCCCAAGTCGTTCGGCCAGTGCATAGGCCTACTCGGTCAGATGTCTACCACGACATCGGAATTCACTGCAGTATACACCCACGTAGCATAATCTGCACACCCATCATGCCTAACTTAACCAACACCTCATCGCTCAGCGCGTCAACTACCATTATCACATAAACCACATTTTACGCTCCCGACCTATCCTGCCCACTCTAATCCCACACATTCACCTAGCGTATCGGTCTGGTCGGTCGCTTGCGAATCCATTGCACAGAGACTGGGGAGCCAGTGCTTGGAGCACCAACGTACACCAGACGTACTCGCCTTAACTTCCAACATTTCTTTTGGGTCCTCAGCCTCAATGGCCATATGAGCATTTATGAAAACATGCGGTGAACCACCCGACCATACCGCATCATCACAACTCTCCCTACCAGCATCCTTTATCAAACAACGTAAGTGGAAGGTGTGTTTTTGTGAGTCCCTAACCGTGTCGCTCCTCTGCTACATTTATACTCCAAAGCTGAGACTGTCACGGTGCACAAAGCGCCGTGGCTTGGAGGGTTGCCGACTGAAGCCTCAACCCAGTCCACAAAGTTTGGTCAATTGCGTGTGTTTATGTTGAGTGGCCGGCTGGCAGTCTGAGGGCCGGTCTGCCACGGCTCCTTCCTAACGTGACTCGGGGCTCTCTTACGCATGGGAGGAGTGTGTGTTTTTGTGTGCGTTTATACGCGTAGTTCTTCCTAGTCGATGACTGTCTGGTTAATCTGATTTTTAAGGTTGATGGTCTAGGCTAAATGCATGGCCACGTGGTATGGGTATGGTGGCACACCTAGGGGTGGGTCCGCATTCGTCCGCATTCGCTCTTGTTTATTTTCTTCAAGTTTTGATACGGGTCAGTGTATATTGTAGTTCAGGGTTGTTGATACATGCTGAGGTTCAGGCTTGCAGACTACGTGACGGTGTGGTCACACATCTCGGTGCAGGTTCCTTCGCCGTGCCACCCACCTGCACTCTCCCTCACCTCGGCCCTTCCTGTCTATGTCTTGACGTTTGGTCTAGGTGGAGGAGGAGAGAGTGCGGGAGGTGCGGCGAAAGTCCACTACCACTATCTCGATGCCTGTATTTGGAGGCCAGATAATGTGTGCGGCAAGCGCAACAACGTCAGACGGCTGAGCCCATTCCCCGCATCAGACAACTGACTGACTCGGACAGGGGCTGGAGACTGCCAGTGGGAATAGCGAGTGAGGTCTACGCTCCAGCACATTCCCACACTACTAACAATGAGACGCGGTTCGATTTGTTGCGGTGGGCTAACAGCGGTGGATGAGAAAACTGACAACTGACGGGATAACTCCGATCCCGAGGGCAGCCAATTATGTTTGTGTATGTGGATTGACTGGCTGTCATATCGATGGTCAGATGGCAACGGTCCATCCTTAATGTGGCCTCCATGGGACTTCCACTTCGTGAGTTCCCAGCGAGGTGTGACGACACGCCTAAGGGCTACTCCGGCCGGGCCAGTCACCTGCACCTCCCTCCTCCGATTCTGTTTACTTCGCCATGACATCGGGCCCAAGTGGGATGAGGGAGAGAGTTCAGTGGATGCAGCATCTTTATAAAACAATTCACACACAAGTCCCCGTCTCAGCACTCCACATCCCGTGGGACTAACGTAGGACATCGTCGGTAATGATAGTCATACTCTGTGTGTGTGCCTGAATTCGTTCGGAGCCCGTAGTCCTTGACTTAATTCTCGTCCTCTCTTTCCACCCAGAAACAAATATTCCTACAAAGAGGTTGTCGCGCAGTCCTGTCAGCGGGCCAAGCTTATTCGGGTTTGTATTTCTGCGTCACAATGTCCCAACCCATAGTGGAATACGCTAGTCGCCCGCGATTCCTAGGCAGGCCTACCCTAATGCAGCACTGCCGGGAAGGGGGTTAGATACAGAATCTTAACCATTTGTAGTTAGATTGAAGCAGTGTTTTCCCGGGATAAATTTGAACAAGGCGAAGGCGACAAAGCGTGCAGAATTTAATGACGTCATAACGGGTATCCGGAGAAATTCATCGATAAATATCGCCATCCCAGACAAGAAACTCCTGAAGTCCGTGACCATCTACCTCCCTTTCAAGGGTGATAACGTGTCAAACGTGATCAAGCGACGACTTCGGTGCACAATCGAAAGGAAGTATGCCGCCTCTAAATTGTTGTTCATAAGCACCACAACGGCCATCCCAGTTAGACCAGCTAAAGACAGTTTGCCTATGCACGCCACATCAAACTGTATTTATGAGTTTACATGTAGTTGCGGATGCAAGTAAATTGGGCGCACGCAAAGGCAGTTGGCAGCTCGGTCAGCTGAACCCATGCCGAAGTGGCTGTTTAAGACGAAAAATAAGGTACCCAGGAGCTCAATCACAATGCACCTAGTGGACACGGGCCATACGGTGGACCAAATGGTTGCATTCAAGGTCCTGTTTCGGGCGACGACCGGCGTCTCTTGCGCTTTGCAGAGGCCGCTGCAATATGGAGGAGGAAACCAGAACTCTGCAAGCAGATGGACCACGTGATAGGCCTGGCACTGCCATGGTAAGTATCGCTTATGGACGAAACCCTGTTCCCATCTACGCCCTCTCATTTCGTCCCCATCCGCCCCCCTCTCCCCGCCATGACTGAATGCTCCCCGCACGGTGCGCTCTAAATCACGCCGCACAAGTTCTCACTGTAGTCCTAACTCTCATACTTGGATGACTTCTCTCCCCCTCCCCCCCTCGCCATATGCACCCGCATACTAGACCCATGTTTCAGGTTACCTATCACGTTTTAGCTCTCTAGGTCGATCGTTGATTGAACAGTTTTGCCTTGTAATATAACTATGCAATGACCGTGTACAGCTGAATGAGAGGTCTCGAAATTTATGACGTCATTAAATTCTGCATGCTTTGTCGCCTTCGCCTTGTTCACATTTGTAGTTAGACAATCGGCAACGGTAAAGATAAGGACCCCATTTAACTGCCGGTAGACTGGTTCAAAAGACCAAACAGCCCGTATGCGGGTGATACACACAGGCACATGGTTCGCATATATCTGGGCTAGGTTTCCACGCAAAGGAGAAAGCCGGCGGTGGACGGTTCGGATCGTGAGCAAGTAGGGTGCCATAGAGGTCATAGCAAAAACGAGTTACTGCAGTCTGACTCTCCAACCTGAGAACAGTAGGAGATAATTATCACGTCGGTCGGCTACAGTTTAAATCACGTCTTAAGGTCACTGTGCTAATTTAGACGCTTCTGCAGTGAGAAATTCACGTTCAGTGCCATGGAGCTGCAGTCGCCCGGCCCGACCACAACAGCATGTGTAATAACCTGAGCTGACGGGCAAAGGGTATTGGAAGACGAAGATGCGATCACTGGAACAAGAAATTCATTGGCCTTACGTCACGGATTCTCACTCGAATGCAGCATCAGAGACAGTTGCAGATAACGGTAATGGTGGCACAAGGAGTGCAGTATTTATAGCACGTGGCTGACGTGGGACCATACGCGCTCTGTAATTAACAACTCTCGCAATCACCGCTGGGGTCGTAAGTGATGCGGTGGTGGGTTGTCAGTCCGAGTCCGAGTCAGTAATGGCCGTGTCTTCCTTGCTGGATGCTGGTGTGACGATTGCTCGGCAAATTGGCTTACTGTCAGTGGGATAATTGCTGGCCCGTGCACTCCCCACGTGACTGATTCCCCTGCCCAGGGAAAATCGCAGCACGGAATATGGTACCGGGAGGTCATTGCGCTTGCTGATGCATTGCGGGCCTGAGAACCATGACTCGAGCAGCTCGCGGCTCACGCGGTTGTCACCCCTTGCGAGGATTTCGGCCTCTTGAAATTTGAAAATATGGCCGGGTCCCGTCGAGTGCGCCGCCACCTGAGAGTTAGCGTCTCCCCGCCTAACTGTTGCTGCGTGCTCGGCAATTCACGTACGAAGCACCATCCACCCCTCCAGAGATGTGGACTCGATCTATAATGGTCCTCATCGCGGCCGAACCTCCACCTCACAAACCGGGCTGGTCGAGCAGCTCTGCGCTCCATGTGTCACCTTTATCTGCGACTGTCTCTGACGATGGGTTCGAGCGGGGATCAGAAACGTCAGGCCAATACAGTGCTTGTTCCAATGATCGCATCTTCGTCTTCTGAACTGCTACATGGAACTCACCCGTTCGCCTCTGTCAGCAAAGGGAGTTGGCTTGACCCAAATGACACACGGTTCGCATCGTAGTTTGCGCGAAAGAACAATAAAAAGTAGCGGTTACATTCGCAATATTTGTAGACAATCCACCAGACGGTCTACAACGATAGCTTCTGAACACACTGAGATGAGTTTATTGTAGATAATGCACCAGACCGGCTACAACAGATGGCCCAAGCTTGAAGGATGAAACACCAAATCGACACCAGAAAACATTATTTGCCAGATATAAAGTGCGATGAAGAGTAGATATGACAATGTTTTTTTTCTCATTCCTCGATACATCCGGAAGAGAAAAGTTACTTTCACTAATCAAATTGAAGTTGAAATTGTATTCTATCTAATGGGGATTAATGAGTTGATTCAAAGAGCATTGGTATAGTTTCAGCCCTCGGGCAGTCAAGATGTAAGGTTTTGATTTAGAACATGGATATCTGGCGGCAATCTCATCCCGACTACGTAGCATTGCACTTTTGCTGTGTATAGAAATGATAAACCGAATCCAACAATCCCATCGTCCAACCAGTCAGCAGGGGTCAGAGGGAAACGCCAGCCGTATGTTAGTCAAGTACAGTGTTCAACCTATGCCAATCTATGCAACCAGGCTGGTTAGTCGCTTGTTTGGATGTTCAGCCAGTCTATTTATGCAAGCACGAGCAAGCACGTTCTAAACCCGGAAATTCCTTCTTTACGGTTAATAATGGCATTAGTCACTACAGTAAATCCAAATTGCTTAAGTCTAATATGACGCCCAAAGCGGCAAATAGCTGACGAGTTAACATGGTGCCAATGGTGGGCATTTAACGTACTTGGTGGACTGAGTGTCGGGCCTCTATTGCTTTTACTAAATTTGGCATCCATTGCAAGTTTACTCATGCTAGTTCGAACTCGCAATTTCATTATTCTTTTAAGTACAATGAACATCAGTTCGAGTGTGGCTTAAGTAGACTGAATATTTCGGATTTGTTTCACATTCCGCCATGTGATCGGTGTGTATCTGACGGAAATGGGAATGTTGCAGTGGGGTGCAAGATTTGAGACACATCTTCAACTTCGTCTCTGGGGTAGGCTTTCTTTCCTATCTGTATCTCATTTAATACAGCTCTTCTCTGAATGCGCGCTTAGACACAATTCTTCCTGTAGATTTATCCAAGCAGGAGGTGCACTAGCCACATGCTTCAGCGCATTCGAAAGTCAGGATACGTAAAGCACATCTGTGAAACCAATGGCATTAGCTAGGTTATCTTCCATGACAACTTTTTTTAACGGGTGAACGTTTTCATCTCTTTTCAACTTACTACGCTCTCCTCTAATTTAGTCCAGTTTAAAAATTACAAAAACAGCAAAGACAGACCGTCGCCATTTGATGCGTTTTCCTTTCGAAAACATTAATTAAGTAGGATCCTAAAACTAATAGTTACGCAGCATAATGCTATAATAATTCTGTTAACACAGGACACCGGCTTTCAAACAAACTTCTTTACGGCTGCATACAAAAACCATCCTCCGTAAAGAGTGAACACTTAAGTAACATTCATTCTATTCATTGCTTTTCGATGCTCTTAACGATTCCATTATATTTGATGGAACAAATGTGTACGAAATATTCACTATTTTCTCATTCAGCTAATAAGTACGTTTTATTTTAAATTCATACTTGAAGGAGGGGTCTGACTTGGTTTAAGTGTTTCCAATTGTGAGCATTTTTAATACCGTGCAACGGCTCTTCATAAAACGTCATGCCTATGCTTTTACCAATGTGGCTCAAATTCCCTGCTAAATTTTATAAACCTCATATGGTCTCATCTTAACACGGTAGATAAATGTATGGTTTTCCGTATGCGCAAATTATAAGGCTTGCGGTCTGAGAACCCTGAATTCAAGTGTAACGGCAGGTCCGGTTCAAAATTATTCGGGACTCGGAAAAGTTTTATAAAATCAAATTATACCCTTCCTCTGAGTGTACAATTGAAAAAAGACCAAATCACCTAATGCATTAGCTAAAAAGTGAATAATTTTCCATAAAATATAATAGAGTCTTTAAGAGCATCGAAAAATAATGGAAAAAATTCATGTTATTTTAAGTATTCACTTTTTACGGAGTATTGTTTTTGGACGCGGTCGGAAAGAGGTTTTTCGAAAGCCGGCATCTTGGGGCAACTGATTTATTATAGAAATAATGCTACAAAATGATTGGTTTTACAACCCTACTTAATTAATCTTTTCGAACCGAAAACGCATTTCGGAATTACTGCTGAGATTTCACAAGTCAGCCCACTGACTGTTCTTTCCCTCCGTTTAATACCATCGCTACTGCGCAAGAATTATGGTCTGACGTTCAAAATCCATCCACCCACGTCTTCCTAATTACGCACCGGTGAAACTTTTAAGGTCCCCCTTTCTTTGATGGACAGATTTCTTGAATTTTCCACCTACAGAATGTGTAAGACGTCGAGTACAAACTGCCAAAATCTTCGACTATGGCTATGCCAGCAAGTTACGCATTTTAAACCGGATCAAGTTTTAACTAGCGCAGGCGGTATGTGAGCTCTAAGCATGTTATCACGGCTTATTGGCTTCGGATAGGAAGAGCCTGTCGCTCATCTGCGTAGGCTGATGCCGTACGTCAAAAAAGCGAACCGAAGGCCTCCACTAGAGTAGCAAAAACACGTTGACGTTTATTGCCGAAAAACACCACAATAACTGCCTGCATTTTCCTGCTCAGCAAACCACAGTCCTCACCTATTTTACTTGGAGTTGCGGCAATGGAAACAGGTTTTCGAAGATCACTTTACTGCATTCTGCTCATACTCCTCCTCTTTGCTGTTGTCTATAGGCTTCTAGATACACTACCACCGGTGACGACTTTGGTTGCATTGACGAGGCCCAACGAAATATCCGAAGAAAATTTGAAGAAGTTAAGGTTTTATTATGACCGATACTGCGCCCGACGTGACCCAAGAGACGATGCCTACGGTCTTGCTGCTGTTATCCAACAGATGAAGTGGATCACTTATCCTAACGAGACGGCAAGTTTAACGAAAGAGCGTCGATTTTTCTTTCAGAAATCCAACGCATAAGCATTTTTTATTCACTTTTATTACGTAAGAGTGAACTTGAGCATCCGGCTGCACTCTAACCGCTTAGACATATTGCACACACACACAGCACACAGGCCGAAGCTCAATGCAAATTAAATTACGTGATTTTCTATAGATATATTTAGCATGCCCAACCATCAACACCTAAGGCCAAATTAATCGTCGTCATGCATACCAGTGGAGTGCCATGACTATCGTGAAGACCTCCAACCCAAATGGGAGGCGTCTCACTTCTCTGTGTAGTCTGCTTGTGAATTCCGAGCCTGGCTTTGTCCTGAAATCCACCCACACTTTCAGATGCGACAAATTAGGGGAGAGTTGATTTTTCCAATTTAAGAATTCATAGAAGTCGGGGAGTAAGTGGTTTCTTTAGGACAGCATCTACGAGATAGTGGACGCAAACTTTCTGCCAAATTACTCGCAAGACGTTTAGTTCTCTGAGTGACCAAGTAGGTTTTTCGTTAGTTCAGTGGTAGTTTGCTGAATTAGTGTGTGCTTAAAACCCAATTAGGCCGTCCAATAAAAATATGCCGTTTTCTGTGTTATCCCTTTTTCCTTTAAAATACTACCAGAACCATGTATTTAAATGCGAATGAACTCCAGACTGAGGTATAGCAAGTTCGTTATACGGTAAGCGGGCTAACTTATGAAATCTCAAAAGAAATTCCGAAATGCGCTTTCGTTTCGAAATAGCACGTTGAGTAGAGTTGTAAAAGTAATCATCCACCAGCATCCGGCATACTCCGTATAAAGTGACTACGTAAGTAGCATGCATTTGTTACATTGATTTTCGAAGCCCTTAGAAATTCAATCCTATTTCACAGAGAACAGGTATAAAACCATTCATTATTTTGCTGATTTCCCAGAAACTTACTTCGGTTTTTCAGTCTTATACTTTAAGGAAGAGTATAAATCGGTTTTAAAAATCTTTTACAATTTCCGAATAATTTTGAACCAGACCTGCTGTTATAATTTCATTCAGGGTTCCCGAACTACAAACCATACAATTTCCGCGTATGGAAAACCATACATTTATCTACCGTATTAAGAGAGGATAATATGGAGTGTATAAAGTTTAGCATTGGATTTGAGCCATATGTTTGAATTTACAAGCCTCATTGATAAATGCAGAGACATAAAGTTTTATGAGCAGCCATTTCATGGGATTAAAAAATCTCACAATAAGAAACGTTTTTAAAACAGAAGTATACCCATTATTTGGGTATAGCATTGGAGGAAGTAGTTTACTATCAAATGAGCAAACGAATCAATATTTTTATGCCTGTTTTCCATGAAATATAATGGAATCGTTTAGAGCATTGAAAAGCAATGAATAGAATACATGCTACTGACGTAGTCATTTTTATGGAGTATGTTTTGTGGATGCAGCTGGAAAGAATATTGCTCGAAAGCCGCCATCCAGGGGTAATTGAATTATTACAGAATTATGCTGCATAATGATTAGTTTTAGAACCCTACTTGATTAAGCTTTTTGAAACAGAAACGCATTTCGGAGTAGCTGTCGACGTTTCCTGCGTTGGCCCATTTGTAAGGATTTTTGAATTTGCTGCTATTATTTTTTAAAGTTTCACTTAGAAAATGTCTTTTTATCCCGAATTTGTACGCTAAAGGTTATCCGCGTGTTCTTTTTATAATCTTTGTTCCGTTGCATCAAGATGATCCGAACATATTTCGAATATTAAGCGTATGCTAAGGAAATTCGCGTAAGGCCAGCTACTCGGAGGACACATGTAATCGATGTAATCATGTTATCAAATTGTACAGTCTCCATGCAGCATAAATGAACTCGAAGAAGACAGCATGGGGATTTGAAACTGCAATAAATATGATCCTTTTCGGCCATTGCGTTTAAAAGTGACAAGCATCGTTTAACAGGTGTCAATAAAATTACCCAGATACAATTACTTGTTGAAACTTTGCGTAAATTTCTTTTAGGGGCTGCGAATAATCTACTATGACAACGGACAGATTGTTCTTGCATAATTCTCTAGAGAGAGCGAATGTCACTCTCGACTTCCGTGGCAACCTTGCGACTAAATGACCATGAGCTAAAAAGTGAAGTATTTCAAAGCAAATACGCAAACGGAAAATTCCTTGAGACTTTTAGAATTTGTCGATGTTATTGTTACCGATGATTTCGCTAAGAAAAAATACGCATTCAACCTAAACGTACACGCTAAAGATCACATTCAGAAGTCCATCCTTCCGCTCTTGTCATAATCTGGGTCCAGTTTTATGCGGAGGGTTCAAGAGGTCTGGGAAACGTGTGGGGGTCAGGTATTGAAGTACACATGTGATCAATGCTGGCTTTTAGGGTCCTCATGCATCATGGAAGGACTTCATATAAGATGGCAATTATTGCGAAAATCACGTTGCACGACAGTGTAAATCTGGATAAACTACTGGGGATCTAAAACTGCAACAAATATGATCGTCTGCTGTTTTTGCGTTCAAAAGCGATACGTTTCGTTTAATAGGGCTCAGTAAAACATGCTAGCTGTCACTATTTGTTGAACATCTGGACAAATGTCTTTAAGTGACTGCGAATAAACTACTTTGACAACGGTCGGATTGCTCATACATAATTCTCTAGAGGGTGTCGAGTCCACTCTCGACTTCTGAAGGTTTTATTTTAATATCTAGTACGCACAAAAATTTAACTAATGTGAATATAGATGACAAAGAAGGATGTTCCTCTCATCTTCTACGACAACAGATACCTCTGGCACACGTTATCCCCCCACGGCTGCCAATATTATTGCAGATTCTCCACAAACCTTTCGGATTATCGGAAGGCCGTTTTGGCTGTCTTCACTCAAGATCCTCCACCGGCTGCGTTGCCGAACCCAGTCAACCAGACATGGGCACTGGAAACGGGTAAACCACCATTTAAAATGCCTCAGATCTCGCCGCAAATGAGGAATCATGTAAGGTTTTGAAACTAAGGGCTTCAGCTTGCGTTTCGCTTTTAATATGCACTGTAAGCCTGTTAAGATGCATTACAGTCTAACCAGCATCGCATGGCCAGGAAGGTAAATATTAATGTTAAACTGCAACGTTTACAATGAAAAGAGGGGAACACATACAGTGAGTGACCGATCTCATGAAATGTTGGCTGAAATACTGAAATGCGTTTTCGATTAGGAAGGAGTACTTGGTCGCAGTGATAATACTGATTATCTTATGGCATACTCTTATAACATTTCGGACTTGGTAGGATGTCAGCTTTTAAATGAACTTCTTTTTAATCTCCTGCAGAAAGCGGCTCGGTAAAAAATGAATTCTTAAGTAGCATGCATTTTTTCCCATCGAATTTCGATGGTCTTGCAAATTCAAATATATTTTATAGAAACCATTAACAAAAATATGCTTTCTTTTAGTCAATCAATAGAGAATCACGCCTTCTTTATATTTTATATTTAAGGCAAGAGTATAATTAGGTTTTAAAAAAGTTTTCTTATTCCTGAATATTGTGGAGCCTGATCATTTGTTGCATTAGCGCTTAGTTATTTCAGTCTACAAGTTGCATGCGTTCCGCGTAAAGAATATCACATATTTTTCCATGCCACTAAAAATATATCATACAGAGTCCATAAAATTGTTCAATGGATGCGGACCATGTTGTACATTCCATGAGGAGCAGTGGTAAACGGCCAGGTTCGATGCTATGTGAATGGACATTTCGCGGTCTTAAAATGTCTCATAATTAGAACCTTTTTTTAAAACCTATTTATACTCCTTCCTTAAGTATGAAACATAAAGAAAACGTGATTCTCTATTGACTGACTAAAAGAAGACATATTTTTGTTTATAGTTTCTCTGAAATATATTTGAATTTGCAAGACCATCGAAAATCGATGGGAAAATGCATGCCACTTAAGTAGTCATCTTTTGACGAGCACGTCTTCTACAGGAGATTAAAAAGAAATGCATTTAAAACCCAAAATCCTGCCGAGTCTAAAATGTTATAAGAGTATGTCACAGGGTAATCAGTATTACAACCGCGACCAAGTAATCCTTTCTAATCAAAAACTCATTTCAGAATTTCAGCCAACATTTCATGAGATAGGTCACTCACTGTAATTAGGGCATGAATACGGGAACACCTGTCGGCATGGCTGGGAAAAGGCGAAACTAGGATCATAAGCAGCGCCATTCTCATGCATGTTATAGATTCCGGACAGCATGTGGGCCCCGATAAAGCGTTTCGTGTGATCTATAAGGTCACATCTAACTATCCTACACCACGGGGACAACGCATATTAACAACAGCAGAGGCGGCCGCCATAGGTTGAGAAAACCAATTTCGTGCGCACAGAAGAACCACGTTCAGGTGGCGCGCCTACAGTGGTCGAAGGTCGACTAACGCTACAACTCTCCCGTGCCCTTCCGTTCTAATCCCGTCCCTGACACTGACTGCTATTACCCCCCCCCTCCCCCACATTCGCACACTTAGCGTGTGTTTTAAGGTGGACTTTTATCGATTTACTTCTACGCCACCTCATCTTCTAATGATGAAAGCATATGACACGGAATGCTTACGCGATCGACTGGATGTGTGTACCGAGAACCAAGTATCCAAGAAAGGAAAGCCCTTTTCCGTCCGTCGATCAGGACTGTAGGGGCAGGTGTTTGTCCATCACGACGCAGATGACCGCAGAATGATGAAGCAGATCTCTTCCCAGGATGCCTCACATTCACAATACTAACCCTGACATCTTTAGACAGTAGAAGAGTAGACTTACACTGATCCATTCTTATTATTAGCTCTGCGATGTCCTTTGTGCCGCGGGTCTGGTGTGATCTTCTTGATCACAGGCCACATCTTGTTCTCTGATATGCTAACACAAGTTATAAGTGTGACGTCCATCCAGCTGAGTCCGCTCTCCAGATATTCATCGCGTCTCTGCGACAAATAGGTTGGTCTTCGTTTAAAGGTAAACTACTACAAAAGTCCGCCTAAACTTCTGCAAATGCCTACTCACTTTCCATTGTCATACGATCAGACCCACTCCAATTATGTCCCTACTTCATTCCTTTTGTAGATTTGACATGCTTCCAGTGGTAATGGGCGCCTCGAGAGACGAGTACTGTGCGATTGCGCCGCCAAACTCTTTCATCCACGTGGATGACTTTGCCTGCTGCGTTGGCGAACTACCTGAACTGGCTTGAAAGGAATGACACAGCCTATGCGTCGTATTTTGCGTGGAAGGCCTATGGGAAGATTGTGGTGAGACTTTCTGCCGGAGTTTGTTTAGAACTGCAAATTATGTTTGATTAATAATCAAGCACATTACTCATCAATGTTAGCGGGACTTTAGTTAAATTTCGACAGTCGTGCCTATTACCGCTCCCTTACTCTAACGCTAGTCTTAATTTTCGCTGCAAAGTCAACCCCGTCAGCAGCGCCAGTCTTTACACAAAACTTTACCTGCGTTCTAACATGAACCAGTTCTTAGTCCACCACCACCACCACAACCACCATCACCATCATCATCATCATCATCACCACCACCACCACCGCTATCATCATCATATTCATCATCATCATCATCATCATCATCATCATCATCATCATCATCATCATCATCATCATCATCATCATCATCATCATCACC